AACGGCGTGGCGAATCCGCACCAAATTCGGGGGATCCCTTCAGCTCGAGGAACCCTCTCGAACGCGAAACGAGTGTGCGTCTAGAGGCCCTCTTTCGAATGAGACCGCCCCCGCGTGGATAGCCCCCGGGGTTCGGGAGTTACGGATATATATTATTTTTATTTTTTCAAATTTCAAATTTTCAAATTTTGGAGTTTGACAATGAACACATTGCAACCATGCTTGGGATGGCCCACATAAACGATCAAAAATGCTTTACATGTCTTGAAATAATAATTTCTAAACATTAAACATTGACTGTCAGTCTTTATTCACCTGTTTCTCGTTGTTTCTCATTAACCCTCTGGGGTCCGAGGGTGTTTTGGGGCCTGGAAAAGTTTTGACATGCCCTGACATTTGTATATTCTGTTTATGTCTATACTGTATTCTATATATAGTATCAGTCAAATGTTTGGACACCCGACTGGGAAAGTGTCCAAACTTTTGACTGGTACTGTACTATAATATACACAAAGAATATCGGCCGATATATCGGTATCGGCCTTTTTTACTCCCTAATATCGGTATCGGGCCCAAAAAACCCATATCGGTCGGGCTCTAGTAAATAATGCACAAATCTGTACATAAATCTTCGGTTACAGATTTGACCACATTATTATTATAAATTGTTATTTAATTGTTCTTTCTGTTCTCATGTCATATATGTATGTACTGTATGTACCAAGAGCTCCTAAAAAAAAACACACACTTTGCAAATAAAGCTAATTCTGGTTCTGATTAAACATGAAAAACAGCATCAGTGTCACTTTCAGTTAGAATTACAACTTGATTTTTTGCTATAAAACAGCTCTATATCAATATGTATAGAATATCCATAACTCGATATTTTAACAAACTGCAAAAGTTAAATAACCGATCAAAGCCTACGGAATAACCAGCAAAATAATCAAAGATTAGTCGATTAATCATTCTTATAATTGTTAGATTAATCGATTATCAAAATAATCTTTGAAGTAGATTGAACTATGATTTGGGAAAACACCAAATCACTGAACTATGTTGGTAGCGACGGAACTTGATGCTTTTGGGAAACACACAGCTTAATGATTCAAAATATTGTTTGTGGGGTAAATATTTGATCTTAAAGGGACAGTTCACCCAAAATGAAAATTGTTTACTCAATTTTTTTTTTCTGTCGAGCATAAAATAATATATTTTGAAGGACAGTTGACGGTTGCCATATACTTTTGATAGTATTTTTTTCTGTTCTATGGAAGTCATTTAATCAAATGATTTAATCAAATGATGACAGAATTTTCATTTTTGAGTGAACTATCCATTTAATGTGAAAAGACCTTTAGAGGAAATAAGAAAAACAATCATTTAAAGGAACTTGTTTTGCAGAAAAAAAAGCGTGTTGGTTCAGGTACTCACAATTCAGAGGTCTGGATGTGCCTGGCAGTGCCTTCGATGGTGTTGCAGTAGTCAGTGGCAAACTTGGTAACGATCTGCAGCAAGGTGGCGCTGTGGTCTTCCACTGGCTGGCCGTAGCTGTTGAGTCGGGACTGGTACTGGGCCGTGAGCACTGTGACTCTCGTCTTGAGCTCCGGGAGACAGTCTCTGATGTGATGCATGAGCAGTCGGCTCAGGGTGCGAGCCAGGTAGCGGGAGCCACAGCGAGAGGCTAATGATGGGTAATGACGCTGCAGGAACACCTGCTCGTCTTTGCAGGAGTCGTCGAGACTCTTTTGGGTGTTCAAGTCATGTTGGCTCCTGGTGAAGTAAAAAAAAAAAAGTGATTATAGGATTGGACAGTGAAAAGTGGATCGAAGCCTGAAAAATTGAAAAGAAGTATGAAGGCACCAGAGCGCATCCAAATTCACTGTCTGCACAACATCCTGTCTGATAGGATGCTTTCATCTAGTAGGTTTTAGGAACTATCTATTGCTTCTTATAATATCCCATAATCCTCTGTGTGTGATTCGGTGGCAGGACACAAACATAAAAACAGCATCTATTTACTTGGTTATCTCTAAAGCTCTAAAATTTGTTCTAGATCATTAAACTTGATGTTATGCAGCCTTGGTCTCTTCCTTTCAGGAACCTTTCAAAGGAATCTTTCATAAAAAAAAAAATTTATTAAAAAAAAAAAAATCACAATGACTGTTAAATTATTGACTGGGCAGCAAGGCAGCTACCTTTGGTTTTGTACAGTTTTTGAGAGTCTCTTATGCTCATCAGGGCTGCATTTATTTAATCAAATTTACAGTAAAAACAGTAATACTGTGGAAAAATGATTACAGCTGTTTTCTGTCAATAATATTTTAAATATAATTTATTCCTGTGATCAAAGCTGAATTTTCAGCATCATTACTCCAGTCTTCAGTGTCACAGGATACTGCAGAAATCATTTTAATATGCTGATTTGATGCTCAAGAAACATTTCTGAGTTTTATCAATCTTGAAACAGTTGTGCTGCCTCATATCTTCTGGAAACTGTGATTGTCATTTTTCTAGGATTCTTTTGATGAATATAAAGTTTAAAGCAAAATTTCAAACATAAATCTTTTATAATATTTTGAATGTCTTTAAGGTCACTTTTGATCCATTTAATGCATCCTTGTTGAATAAAAGTATTACATTCTAAAAAAAATAAATAAAAAAAAAAACTTTACTGACCGGCAGTGTATATGAACGGCGGTTGAAGGGGCCAAAAAAAGAGATAATTTTAGAGACAGAGCGAGATATTATTATTTTTTTCCTTTGGAAAAAGGTCCACATAGTCATTCATAATAAGACCAAGTAGGCTCAGTAAGACAGAAAATCGAGTTACCATTGATTTCATGTTGACTTTAAATATAGAGATTGCTGAAATCATTAGGCATGAATTGTTCTTTGAGAAAAGGGCTTCACTCTGACAAAAGGGTCTTCAGCTCTTTCATTACGGTCACAGAGAATTTCTAAATTAATCTGCAGTGCATTCTTACAGGATAGAGCTAAACTGAAAATTGTTAGTATACTGCCCACTACTGGAAAAAAGCAGCTTCTACCTTTGCTTCTGTCAACAAAGTCCCAAGTACTGTGCCCATGGTAACTAACTAGGAATGAAAACCACATTTTTACATTTTCTAAAGAAAACGTGTTGTGAATGGTTGCTCGGGCATTGCTAGGCAGTTGCTAGGGTGGTTTCAGGTGGGTTTGGGGTTTTTGCTTATTGCAGGGTTTCTACACATTTTCCATTTCAAAATGGAAACACCAAACCCAGACAAGTTCAATGCACAGCATTTTATTAAAATCGCAATGCTAAACTATTACTTTTACGGAATACGTTTGATATGCTTTTCACACTCACTACATAGTGAAAATATTTAAAATTCATAATACTGTCACTCCAGTATAATAATGTTTGTTATACTAAATATTTCATGATGAAGAGCAGGCAGTGACCTCACTCATAAAGTATTTGTCTATATAACAATATTTTACATTATTTTCAGTATTATATAGTAGTCATCTGTAATCAGTAGGGCAGTCATCTGTAGTGCAAATGCATTCACTGAATATATTAGCTTTCTCATAGTGATAACATGCTTATATGTAGAGAAGAAACCAAAAACGCTTTATAAGCTGCATATATTCACCTCTGACACATCAGTTAGATACTGTAATCGTGGTTTGTTGTTGCATGACCACCAACCAGCACAACAGGAACTTGTTTATAGACTGGTTGAAAAGATCACACACTCCCTTTATCTGTTGTTGGTTTGAGGTACTCACACTCATTCATTTAGTAAAGTTTAGGAAAAACAGTTTTGAGTGGTGAAAATACGCACCTTGAACTCACTTCCTGATATTTTATGTTAAAGGAGTAGTTCACCCAAAACTGAAAATGTCCTGAATATTTACTCACCCTCAGGCCATCCAAGAGGTAGATGAGTTTGTTTGTTCATCATGGGAGCAGATTTGGAGAAATGTAGCATCACATCACTTGCTCACCAATGGATGCTCTGCAGTGAATGGGTGCCGTCAGAATGAGAGTCCAAACAACTGATAAAAACATCACAATAATCCACACCACTCCAGTCCATCAGTTAATGTCTTGTGAACTGAAAAGCTGTGTGTTTGTAAGAAACAAATCCATCATTAAGATGTTTTAACATCAAACCATTGCTTCCGAATAAAATATGAGTCCATAATCCATAATAACGCTTCCTCCAGTACAAAAGTTCATCCCCTGTTTGCCCTTTTTTTTTTACTTGTAAACTGTGCTTGATTTGTGCATATTTATCTCCTGATTCAGACAAGATGACTTTTTCACTGGAGAAAGCAATTTTATGGATAGAGAGAGTTTATTTTAGCATTGGATCCAACAGTTTAAAGTTAAAAACATCTTAATGATGGATTTGTTTCTTACAAACATGCCCTACAGATCACTTCATAAGATTAATTGATGGATTGGTGTCATGTGGATTACGTGTGGATTATTGTGATGTTTTATCAGATGTTTCATTTTTGGGTGAACTATTCCTTTAAACGATCCCTAAACAATCACTAAACTTGGCTGCCTGATCCAAATGCCACGAACAACACTCTGCTTGTATGATTTTTATTTTTATTTTTTTTTAGAAATCTTTAGAAAATCTCAAATTTACATTTTAGAACCCAGAATACAGGCAATAGTCTGGAAATGTATTTCTCCATATCCTTACTCTTCTCCATATCCAAGAATATCCAGAATTTTTCATACTGCATGGAACCCTGTAGCCGGCCCAAGTATTTATAATATTCTAGTCTCTAGATACGGCACAGGTTCTTCCTTCAGTCTGAGTTATGCCTGTTTCATCCACCAGTCAAGTCAGATCTGTCTTCAATAACACATGATTTGAGGAATCATTTATGTCCGTTGCACAAATGGCGCTGGGCTAGATCCATGTTTAAATTTAATATTTAAGGTTAGGGATTAGTTTGAACCTCTGACCTCAAGTATGAGCAACAGTAACATTGATGCTTCCCTGAGCAAACACTACTGATAAAACGAAAAAGACTGACCAATATATTGCACCAAACACGTCTTGTATTTGTTGCCTGTGCTTGCTTTCCATAAACACTCTCCCAGAAATCGTCTGTTTGACGGCTCGTTGTTAAATCCTCAAAGAGAGCATAGGTTAAAACTGAAGAGACGATGGCCCGCAGCTACGTCTGATTAACTTAACGAGAGTCGAGAAATGAAAAGTGTCACTGCAGTTCTTCTCCCCAACTAAATTGCCTCCTGTATTTGTACAGGCCCTAAAGGACTTACTAAAGCCAAAGCGGAATAAACCAGTGATTTATCTCAAACACGGCTCTGCGTTAGTTGATAGCGGGAAGACATGGTACCCTTGGGTGCTAGTGCATGAATAGACAGAGCGGGAGAGGAGAGGATAACAGCGCAGGGAATATTACAGTCACTGCTGCTTAGGGTTATGATAGAGGAACTGGAAATGAAGGAAAATTACACTGTGGCTTTTTCACATGGTTGATTAAGTTTCTACTGCAGTCAAAAGGGCCGTGTGCTGCACTTCTGTAGCACTTTATTTTTTCCCTGAGGTCCACTTAAAATGTTATTCAAGGTTTCATGTGCTTGTTGTGATGTAGTTTTACATGGTCATTTTCCACCCTCTCACTGACCCTTATGCTTAAACAGGCTGTTTTTGCTGCTGTGCCTCTAGCACTTCATATGTAAATGAGTTCTGTAATGATCTATTCAGCCTCATGAGAAAAAAAAAACAGACTCTGCACTTCTGTAAAATGTGAAATACGTTGCTGCAGGTCCAAATTGGTGCAGTTTCAAGGTGAAATGACCACCCGCTTTACTAAAAGTGCTAGAGGGATCTATGATTTTTGCTTTTCGAGCACTTATACCATCAAGTTGCACAAAACAACAAAAGCTCAGTACAGTCAAAGTTCAGAGGTATTTAATTTTTTTAATTTTTTCAATGTTTTTTAAGAAAGTTTTAAGTGCACAATAAATTGATCAAAAGTGACAGTAAAAAACTTCACATTGTTACAAAAGACTTGTAAATTGTCTATTTCGAATAAATACTGTTATTTTCAATGTTTTATTACTTATATACTGTATTTTTTATTAAATTAATGCAGCTTTGGTAAGAATACACTAAAAAAATGCTGGGTTAAATATAACCCAGCGCTGGGTTAAAAAGGGACAAACCCAGCTATTGGGTTGTTTTGACCCAGCAGCTGGGTTATTTTGAACCCATCCGCTGGGTTTGTCCCTTTTTAACCCAGCATTTTTTAGAGTGTAAGAAACTTTCAAAAATATTATTAAATATTAAATAAATATTATTGCTGTAAATAATAACGACCCCAAACTTTTGAACCGTAGCGTTTCTGTATCTGAATTTGCTATACATATTATTATTAACAGTAATAATTTAATAATATATTAAATTCATATTAAACAGCTTCAATTTATTAAGATACAGTGGACTGAAAATACAAATACTCACATTTCTTGAGGATATTTAAATCACAATTTAAAAGTAGGCAACATGTACATGATATATAGAGTTCTCCATGTGCTTTTACAGCATTATCATTACAATTCAATTTAATGACAATATATAATTAATATGAAAATGTGCTGAAAATTGGGGACTAAATATTTATAAAAAAAATAATATTTTCAATTCAAAAGTAAATATGCATATAATGTAGGTATTTTAATACATGTTAAATTGCTATTTTGTAAATAATTGAATACATCAAATTAAACTTACTAAGGCCTCCCCAATCCCATTTGCGTAACAAGTTGTTGAGTAACGAATCTGCATTTTGGTGGATAATAGACACGGAACCAAACCAAAACAATTTTTAAAATATAAACTGCTTACTCATTTATTTTCAGAAAGATTTACTAAATATAAAGTGTTTGTGTGCCTGCAATTATGTGTTCAACTTGAATCATTCCCAAATGATGTCTGATTTAAAGCACTGGGTTAGTTGATTTGCTTTATAAGCTTTGTGATTGTGTTGACCAACATGTCTACAGTGCATTATTTTCCATGTGTCTATTGCCCTTACGAGTAATTCACGTGTGATGTGATCTGGTGATCTGGTTGCAGTGACAACCACACACGCTTCTTGCTGATCTACATAGTCCTACACAGTCCATAGTCCTGATCTATATAGGTTTACTATAGAAAAGCTAAAATGTGTTTATAAGTGTGACTGACCAAATCGACTGGCTCGGTTTGGCCCTCTCATGCTCAAGTGTCAAGCTACACCCATGTTATTACATTTAAAATCCAGACAGGGTAAGAGATAATAGGGTAACTGACCTGTTAACCACACCAATAATGCCCAGTCTCACGGGAATGACCCGGCCCAGCAGCACCTCCAGAGCATCTGTCCCCGCGTCCATCAAATCCAGCTTACTCACCACCAGCAGCGTCCTGCGACCTGAGTGCACACAGCCAATAAATACACTCCCTTCCCACAGTGCCATTCGATGTGTACTAATGACATCTGGACATTCTCTACATGTCGCTCACCATCTGGGTCCACCTCTCGTGCCAGTTTAAGGGCATCCGATGTGGCGAGGTCAGAGTTTGCAGGAGAAACACACAGGATGAGGGAGTTGGGGTTGGAGATGTACGACAGAATCATCTCTTGGACTTGAGTCTCGATATCTTCAGGCTGGTCACCAACCGGGACCTACTCAAGAAAAGATCACATCACATGACAAAGATTGAGCAGGTGTATGAAGCAATTAGGGCTGCAACTAACGATTATTTTGATAATCGATTAATCTGTTGATTACTTCTTTAAATAATCTGATAAAAATTAGAGATGCACCGATATGAAATTTATCAGCCAATACCAATAGCCGATTATTCAGAATGTTATCTGCCGATATTTGGTTTTCTAAAGGAAAGAAAACATCTCTCCCAACTTATGCTGTAAACTACAGGGATTCCTCTCATTTGGTACATTACACTATTGTATTCAATGACATTTATTTTTAGATATAATATTCACACTCAATTCAATTGCACATTAGGTAGTTTTCATAAAAACTTGTCTTCATGAAAGATTTATTCAAACATACTTATATAATTAACAGTAAATAAGCTTCTCTCTAGTGTTTTTATAGCTAACTAACCAACTCTGAACACTGGATAATTTTAAGGTAAATGCAATGATTATATGAATATATGAGACATGATACATTTCGGTAAGTTGTACTGTATCTTTCATACCTTCTGATGTTCATTCATGTTTATTTCATGCTATAACTTGTATTAAAGGGGAATAGACTTGTGCACCGCACTGCCACTTGAACTGAAGCTGCTACAGTGATCGCTCACGCCACATTCAAGAGCATCAAAACGGCATTTATTGTTTGAATTTTGTTATATTGGGCCCTATATTAACGATCTAAGCGCATGGTCTAAAGCGCACGGCGCAGGTGCACTTAGGGCGTGTCCGAATCCACTTTTTAACGACGGGAAAAGGTTGGCGCACCCGGGCACATGGTCTAAACGGGTTGTCCCTATTCTCTTAATGAGTAATGGGTGTTTTTTGGGCATAACTTGCAATAAACCAATCAGAGTCTCATCTCCCATCCCCTTTAAAAGCCAGTTGCGCTTGCGCCATCGCAGGTTCGCTATTTACATGGCGGAATGTAATTTTTCATTTTTAAAAATGTTTGTGTGCTGCTGTGCGTCCCTGTGTGTGTAATAAGCAGAGTGTACGCGCGTTGTGCACCCGCCTATAGGCGCATATTACTAACGCGCTCTTTAAATAACAAAGAAAAAATACTGCGCCAGACTTTAGACCAGGTTTGAGTTGGTCAAAACAGTTCCTCAAAATAGCAACGCACCAACAATGTGCCTGAACACACCTCTTTTTTAGACCAGCACACCCATGGGCGCAAATGCATTTGCTATTTAAACAAAACACTTGCGCCGCGCCTTGCGCCGGGTGTATGATAGGGCCCAAAATGTACAGGATTTGAAAGATGAGACTTTGTTTCTTATCAGAAGTAACAAAGCGCAAAGCTCGTTGTGATAATTGGATTGGAGGCACATTACAAATAATGTCTGGGGAAGGAAAAACTGCAGACCTGGCAACCCTGGATTGAACTACAGGTGGTCCATAGGGTCAAATAGAACCTGTGTTATCAGCACGGTGTTAATGTGTTATTAATGCTTTAAACTGGACAGCCCTAAATTCAACACAAGAAACATTTTCTTCACAAATTGCTTTCTGCCACCTTTTGATTGACAGGAAATAATTGGCCCTGATCATTGGCTGCTTTTAAACAATCGGCCGAGTGCAGATAATTGCTTTTATCAGCCGATAACAATTATTGGCCGATACAATGGTACATCCCTAATAAAAATCTAAATACTAATTATTAAAATGTAATAAAAAAAAACAAGTAAATTTAATCCATTATTAAAAATCTAATTTCACATCCTGCCCAGTGTCATCCTCCAAACAATGTGCAATCTGAAGGCTATGAAAACAAATGTAGTGATATATATATATATATATATACACACACACATACATACATATATACAGTGGGTACGGAAAGTATTCAGACCCCCTTAAATTTTTCACT